TGTGATTGATGTCAATGAGGCAATTACGACCCATAAGACGGCCACTATCCGCAATTACAACACTCAACCACGATTAAGTAAGACTAAATTCACGCACTCTTATTAGTCCTTTTCTTGAAAACTTTATTGCAGTTTACAAAACCGTCGTTGGTGTGAACGGACCTCTGGTAATTCTGAACGAAGTGAAATTTCCGCAGTACAACGAAATCGTTCACATTACCCTACCAGATGGAACCCAACGAAGTGGGCAAGTGCTGGAAATTACCAGAAACAAAGCCGTCGTTCAGGTAAAAAGAAATTATGCAATGGAATTTTGTCTTTAAACCTTTTGATTGGTCTTAGGTCTTCCATTCTCATTTCTGTTATCTTGAAATAGCTGACTTAAGTGAGTTGAGATTTTTGGAACTTTTTTGAAAGTTTTTTGAGAGACCACAACCTTTTTAGCGTTTTTATTAATTGTTTCATAGGCGCACGGATTTTCCCTAACTTTCTCTAGATCTTAAAAGAAAAGTGTTTAAATCTTCTCGCAACTTGTGTCGCTTTCCTTCTTTTAGCTTGAATCTTCTTTCAGGTCTTCGAAGGAACTTCGGGAATTGACGCGAAAAACACCATTTGTGAATTTACTGGTGATATTTTGCGTACACCTGTGTCTGAAGATATGCTTGGACGCATCTTCAACGGATCTGGCAAACCAATCGACAGAGTAAGTACTAGCATTCCAAATCTGATCTTATCAAAGCTCCTACTATCACCGTTCAGGGACCACCAGTGTTGGCGGAGGATTTCCTGGACATCAATGGTCAACCCATAAATCCATGGTCACGTATTTATCCTGAAGAAATGATCCAAACTGGAATCTCCGCCATCGACGTCATGAACTCCATTGCCCGTGGGCAGGTACTGCATAGCGCATGATGTTTTGAAAAGATTTTTCCATTTTGATCGTTTTTCCAGAAAATCCCCATTTTCTCGGCAGCCGGTCTACCCCATAACGAAATCGCCGCACAGATTGTGCGACAAGGAGGTGAATAACAGGAATTCTCATAAGTGAGGTCATTATGTAGAATAAAGACCTGCATTATAGGTTTGGTAAAG